ACAAAACACTTACTTCTTACTGTTTTGAACCTTTGAAGAAAACCTTCTGCCCATTCATTTGGCATTTGATGTAGATTCGCCAAATCGGCTAAAGTAGCTTCAGACTCGGTCTTGTAAAACTGAGCATGGAACAATTGTTCCAATTGTTGCCATGTTTGAACAGAGTTTACTGGCAAGTTAATGAACCAGGAGAAGGCTACTCCTGTTAATGAACTAGAGAACAACCTCATTTTATGGTAGTCGGTTACTTCACCAATCTGCAATGTGAATCGCCCTATGTGTTCTAGAGTGGACACTTCTCCTAAACCAGTAAATAATGAAAATTCTGGCACTTTGTACCCTGTAGGCTATGGATATGCTTGATCTACCCAATCAGGATATGGCTTCGTGTAAGTAGGCCTAATGACATGACGTACCCCAAGAGCCATTTGATCATGTACTATCTCCATGATTTGATTTCTCAACATGACATTGGGATCATATAAAATTCCTACAGGTTGGTTTAATGGTTGATTCACTTGAGGCCTAATGTTTGGTCCTTGGTTGGCAACAAAATTTCCATTGTTTGGACCGTTATTACTATTGAACTGAGTGTTCAAACCATCATTAACGTACGGGGCGTTCTGTCCATCATTCAGGATATTATCTCTTATAATTGAATTACCCCCGAAGTTAGTAATCTCATTACCACCATTCAAATTTGGCATTCCATTACCCCCCCTGGTTTGAAGTAGATGGACCAAAGGTTGGTTCTAGTCCTTGATTTAAGTTCAAACCAGAATAATTATGTGGTGAGTTATGCCCCACAATTATCCTGGTTTGAAAGTGGTTTGCAATAGGCATAACTGGCTAGCACATTTGGCCTACTAACTTGTTCAGTATCTTATTTAATGTATTCAATTGTTTGGTCATGTTGTCATAATGTGCATTCCCACTTTGGATAAATCTTTCCATATTATGAACATTTCGTAGACTTACTTATTTAACGACATCCTGTGTGAGTTCTCCAAGTAATGCACGCATGGTTCGAGGACTCAACTCTGTCATTGGCTCGTAACGACTGTGACTGCTTTGACTCCGTCCCTCTGTTCGTGGAGAGTTTTGCTGCTCTTCATATCGCTCGATTACAGGCTGGACTACTCCCTGACTTGTTGGTTTCTTATCAGAATGTTTATGAGGCGTAATGCTTCACTTTTTGTATCTTCAACACTAAACACCAATATCCCACTGGGTGTGCCAAATTATTTCACGCGAGTAGTCGCTAACAACTAAAAAAGAATTCAGACGATTGTGTACAGAACAAATCTCTTGAGACAAAGTCCCAAAAAGGGGTGTTTTATTGATGAGAGTTACAATTTGAAACAAACAGAATGCCTCCAAGGGGCGCAAGCACACGAGTACTTGAAATTGAAATTACATATTTTCTGTTTGAGAGTGTTTGATTCAGGGTCCTTTTCTCTATGTCTTATATTCCTTTTTATATTCCCATGTTGATTTCTTCATGACAAACCGCTTGAAAATTACTTGATTACTGTATAACGACCCACTTTCTTCATGGTGGCTAACTTATCGTGAAACTGTCATCTCTAACTGCTGTCATGACTCTTTGTCATTCAACCCCTTTCAAATGGGCTCCTTAAATCGTGGAACGTGATAAGTCTGCTCGATAACTGCTTCAATAACTGCTATTCTGGATAATCATAATGTCTCATGTGTTAAGATTTTGGACGACTTGAAGGTTTGGGCGAAAATGAGGTCATCGCTCTGGGCGACCGTAAGGTACTCCATTCGCTTAAATTCTGGACGTATTGCAGGCTTGAGCGATAATATTACTGTGTTCGTCGGCTACCCCTACATTCACCAATAATCTTATTTGGGCCTTTATCCTGGACTCCCCAATCGGGTCTCACTCTTTGGGTTATTTAATTTGGACTGTATTTTTAGTGTGTCAACGGATATGCATAAATATTAGTGGTAATTACATAAAATCATACTTTAAGTTTTTAAACTTCTAAAATCAGATTGGAAGTTTAATATTTCCAAAATCTTTTATTTTTAAATATTAAATATTAATTATATATTTTTTATCCAAAACCCTAATTATACCATTTTCATCATTCATTCATCCATTCTCTCTTCTCTCTCACTATAACCGCCGCTGTCGCCTCATCCTTTCTCCCTCTTCTACTCCGGCGAACATCCACCACCACACCGCCGGAGACCGTCGCCATCACATCTTTCTTCTCTCTCTCTTCTCCCACTGTCGGAGACCGTCACCACGGTTGCTACTGCTTCTCTTCGATTTGTACTCCGTCTTGACAGTAGCCTTAGCCACTGTTAATCACAGGCTACGCGCGACTGTGCAGAAAAGAGGTCGATTCAGACCACAGCGGCGCAGATATGTTATTTCTTTTTATTTTTCTGAGTTTGATTTCTCCGATGGTTCCTCCAGTCGAACCTCCCACATTTCCACATCCAGAGGATTGACATCGTTAAACTTTACGTCAACGAATCCAAATTGGAGTTTGGTGGTGGTGCAGGCTCCGAGTTTTTTTGTTGTGGTGGTGGTTGTGCAGTCGGTGATAGTGTGTTGTGGTGATTGATGTGTGCGGTACAATGTGGTTGGTCTGTGAAGTAGTGGTGGTTGAAAATGGTGATGGTTGTGGTTGTTTTGCCAATGGCGACGGTGCTCGTGTTGGCGTGTGTGCCGTTGCTGCTGGTGGTGGAAAATGAGGTGAAAATCTGGAGTAATAGGTGTTGGAGTTTTTGGGGTAGTTGGTGGTAGTTTGTAAATGGTGGCGGTTTGACGGTGAGGTGGTGCCGGCTTGCAGGCAGCTGAG